GGTTCTACAATTATATATACATTATAATGAATGAATGAATTAGTCTTATGAACGACAATGGAATTATGTTCCACCACATTCCCGAAATTCTTTTCGTATTTGGTTATCATACCTCGCAGTGAATTCATTCGTGTAAGCCTATTGTGTTCCACGATAAATATTACTTTGTAAAACGTCTAATTTTGTGGTGACGTTTTCGTAATTTTGCAGGGTGGATTCTTCTGTTTTGGTTGGAATTCTCTTGGGCAAGTTAAGTATAAATTCAGTTTCCCCCTACACTTTTGGAGATTTTTCTTTTTTTCCTTCACGTTCCCCAGTGGAACATAGGGCCTCAAGCTAGTGGCTTGAAGTTTCTGTAGCAGTGTTTATTTTACAGGATGGGGTTGCTAGCCTCATGCCCAACTTTTCCTCTTTATCAGCATTATTTCTGGCTTAGCGAGGTAAAGGGGTGCGTCGGCCGGGGATCGAACCCCGGACCATGTGCATGGTCGGTAAGCGTCCTAACCGCTATGCCACCGACGCACTACTCTTGGAGATGCTGACAGCAAATTGCATTCATCCTCTAGTAGAGTTTGTTCCTTTTCTGTTATTTTCTTATCTGTTTTATATTTCAGCTGCAGTTGGAAATACTGTGAAGTATTTTTTTGCAAGTATTTAAATCTCCAAAATATACTTTTTACATATCATTTGTTTGATGATATTTCTGTATATGGTTCCGTGTATCCACTCGTACTGTACGCCCTACAATCTAGTCAGTTGTTTTGTGCCCATCTGAAAAGTCATTCAGTAGTCTTCGCGTAACACATGTGAATAAAAGTTAGTATAGATAACCATATAAGAAAGGTACTTGTGGCCTTACTAACAAGTCTTATCGAAGGGATTCTTTCGTTTTCCGATATCAAGAAGAGTGTCATGCTTGTAAAATGCTGGGATAATAAAGGATATTTCAGCGTGATTTAGCTAAGTTTTTACTGAGTTTTTACTTAAATCGCATGAAAGATGTGCAGATTTGATGTTATCTCAAATAGTGATAAATACATGAAGCAAGTGTGATCACTGTTAAAGGCATGTAACCAACATTTGATTAGATTGAGTCAGAAATGTTTGAATTAATGGGCATTTGCTAATAATGTAATCATCCCATCAAGTATATTCACTTTGTAAACACAAAAAAGAATGCCAAGACATTCCCTTAATACCGATATACAAAGTGCTGTAGTATTCGATGTTTAAATTTGTGAAATCAATGGAAAGAGAGCCACGAACTTAAGTTTTATAACAGTTCAAGTTCAACAAGAAGAGATTAATTCATTTCTTCATTCTTTCCGAACAAAATGACACATAACTATTAAGATATATGATTTTAATAGGTTTATTTCCTTTTGTTGTGTAGTAGCACTGTTTATATTGATTAAACTGAACATAAGTAAATACTTTGTTGGCACAGTATAGTACTTATTTTTGAAATGCTGAAAAGTTATGAATTTAGGTTAAGATCTATTTACTTAGAGATTAAGAAAATAATATAAAATCCTAGTTTTGTTTAAAGAGATAAAATCTACTTTTGATCATATAATTATTGACAGAGTAGAATGTAGACATTAGTATATATTATTAGGTTATATTCATATAGATCGATTGTAGCAAAGCTTATTCATTTTTCAATACTTTTTCTGAAGAAATGCTACTGAAATGATTTTGAATACACTTCAAATGGGAGCACACATTTTAAGATGAATGTAATGACTGTTTCTGTACATATTATTTAAATATTATTTGCTTCAATAAAGTATGAATATATTGTTCTATATAGTTAGATTTAAGTTGTGTGTTTTAAAATATTCAACTACTTTGATTGATAAATAGAAATGTAAAAGAATGTACACTCAATAAAAGAGATATTGTATAAGAAACAGTTACATGAAGACTTGGTGACACCATTAGGACATTGTATTATGCTGCGAAGCATGTGTTCGTTAACGCGAACAATCGAGCGCTTTAACAACCTGGGAGAGACCGATTGTCAGTCCTTGGCAATTCAAACGGCGTATATCAATTCGAATGTGTTTGTGGAAGAGCAGTTTTCTACTTGTTTGATGGAGCATGTACCCAAGTGGGTAAATGATATCTGAAGTCAAGGTTTCGAAACGTCCGGCAACGATGCATCTTGTAGACTACGAATATGATAATGACGCTGTCAAGTCATTCAATGTTGTCAGCGGAAAAACAAACAGAAAGGTGCTTGCATTTGCGGAAGCTTGTTCAATTAGAGGTTGCAGACCCGGTTTCTTTGTACAGAAGGAAATGTACCATGGTAATATCTTTTACTTATATTTTTTAAAATCTTTTTTTATTATCCCTGACTCATTTAGGACTGTCTTTTGTCAGTACCATTATAATTATTCGTTTCATCATCATAATTTCTCAGTTTCCAGTTCCTGAGATTTTCTAGTTCTTTTTCTGATAACTGATTGTTTACTTAAGTGAAGTCAGTGAGCTGTAATCCATTATCAAAGTCTCCTCTTATCCATCTGAATTTGACCTGTAAAAAATTTGCACCTGTCATTTTGCATAACTGCTTGCATGTAGTTTGTTTACATATCAGTTACGTATCTCCCAATGTGTTTCTAATGACATGTATATCATTGTATATAGAGTGGTCAGCTGAAGAGTTTCACCGAGATTCGATGAATTCATTGAATCTTGTTTTACTGACATTTTTTTGCTTGTTTTAAATTCCTTTAGGGAAACAAATGTTTCTAACGTTATCTCTTAGATTTCAGACAGTTACTGGTCGGATGTTTCATATGTTTATCCGTATGAGTCATTGTTTGAGAAACATTTTATGTCATGACCAAAGTGCATAATTTGTATGCTAACATCATCCCTGAAACCTTCTTGCTACTCAGTAAGAACTTATATGTAATCACATGCCAAGAACCACGTTCCTCACTAGTTTCTTTTATGAGCACTCCAACTTCATTTATATGCGTCTTAGAACTAAGCGAGTATAGTGGTCTCTCTGGTAGAAGTCTTTTGTTTATTAGCATTCATAGAAACTGCATGAGCTCTGAATTTCGTGAACCCAGTTATTCGTATTATCATCACTCAGTGCCAAACTTATAAGTATCTCTGATGAGTTTTTCAGATTCCGCAGAAATCAGTATAAATGTCTAACACTGCGATACACTTACATACTTGGGTTCATTATGGGACAAGCATCGTCTGAATGGCGGTTTGACTTCTTAGAATTTCAAATATGCATATTTAGAACATATCAACTGAAATATTAGCTTAAGTCCTAAGCTTCAATCAGCTGATTCTTATCGCCTAAAACTAAAATAAACATCCACCTTTATGAACGGTGGTATTGTGTTTCTTATATTTGTAACTGAGTTACATAGTTAACCGACATATTGTTTAAGAATTTAAAATAATAACTGCAATACTTGGTATCTGTAATTTACATGGGTTAATTTTAGGTGGGTTTTTTCCCGACCATTCTATCACTTTATCTTAAAGCTTCATTAGAGAACATTTTCTCTACTCTTTTTATACCTTTCAAGAATTTTCTTTTCTTGGGAGAAAAACTAAAAATTCTGGAAGATAATATTAATTTTGATCAGGAACTAACTTCATTTTGGGAGCCATAGAAAACTGAACAGTATTGGGCAGGTACTAATGGATCATGGGTGCGTACTACTAAAGAGTCCCAAACAAGAGCAGAATAGCTGTCTAGTATTCCCCGAGGTTTACACCTCAACTAAAGCTGGTGAACTGAAAGAGGATAAATATTTTGGCGTTATTACCAATTCCTTAAGGATGAGAAATTTACTCATCTTTTTATTCACGGAATAAATTCCGTCTTCCCAACTAATCTTTCTTACAGTTGTTATTTTCCTCAGATGAATATCATAAAATTGATCACCATATTACTAGTTTATAAATATTTTTGAGGAACACTCATTAAAATCTAGACAGTGCATTTCTGTTAAAATTCATAATGTCTATGAAAAATGACGCCCAAATTCTTTTCGATTATTCAGACAGTGTGCTGTTTTATAATTAGTTGGTTATAACATTATTGGTGTTCACGCTCACTGACTGATGCTTGTCTTAAGGACGTGAGCAGATACGGTATCAGACGTTAGGCATTTATAACATCACTAGATAAAGATGGACCAAATAAAATTTTATATACGTTAACAAGTCTCTTAACAGAACAGTAGCAGTTACTGACTTTTCTTTATACATTTATTATTTTCCTCCATGTATTTATGAGCCACCAGTATTCAAACCTTGGTGTTTCTTTTTGAACTGATGACCATTCAGTGACTGGTCTTCCTCAATTATACGTTTAATTTTCATAATGCCCATCTTTCCATCATTTTGTCATCTTTTTTCCTGGTAAATGAAATTATTTTCGTTCCATTTATTTTCAGATTCTTTTATCTGGTTCAAATGTTAAATGACCGCCTGTTGGTCTTTTCTTCTGGATGCAACTGTAATTCTGGCAAAGTTTTGCATTATTTTTTATTTTGATTATAGCTTGATTCCACATCATATTTTGGTATAAGTATGGAATTTTCAGCATGTGATATCGGTAGCCCAAATTTTGCAGGCCGACCATTGATATCAGATGTGGATCGGCAGGGGATCGAACTCCCGACCATGCGCATGGCCAGCGAGAGTCCTAACCGCTGTGCCACCGACGCACATCGTAAATAAAAATTTGACTACAACTGCTTGAGTTTCTTATCAGCAGCGCTAATCACGTATCACGTAATTAGCCTATTGTTTGTGGATTCAAATTAACAAATATTTCATATTTATCATGAAACCTAAAACTACACTATTTTTATCCTGGTTTTAGGTATGCTGTTTGAATTGAATCCTTTGAGTCCTTTCACTTTTGGAAAGAATATCAGCTACTCAACTCAGTGCTGTTTGTACAGTATTCTAAAATGATGTTCCATAGAGAGAGAAAAAAAAGATTTGTATGTTTTTATTTTGCAGAGTTATGTTTATTCTTCCAACTTATGATATTGAATTGATATGGACATTAATAATGACTATCAATATTGTTTAAGGAAGGGTAAAGAAAAATTGTTGCATAGTTCAAACAGTTTTAAACAACAGAACTCCACGATCTTCAAGAGAAAAATAAATACAGAATTGTTTGATATGCGTCACGTAACTAAAATGTTTTAGAAAAAAAAGAAACAGAGGAATAAGAAATTTTACTAATTTAAATACAGGAGAATTCAATTTGATTTAATAAACAATTATGCTTAGTTTTCGTAGTATGCTTACTTACTTCGAACAGTGATTGTGTTGAATTAACAATGAAAGAAAGTTATGCAACTTGCTTAACAATGATTTACGCTTATTGTAGTTATTTCTCATGAAATGTAACATGAAAACTGAATAACAGCGAATAACTGGCAACTCATATTACTCACTGAATCATTTAGATTGAATTTATCCAGAATTATCAAAAGATATCACTTAGAATTCCATGAGTTTTAGTAAAATAGTCCCGGAACATTCAAATTGCAGAAAAACCCCCTACCGAATGAGTACTTCTTACATTCCTTTAATGCATCATATATATCCTACCGTCAATTCTCCAATACCCCACTGTTCTTAACTAAACAATATAGAGTTATATTCTAAAAGTAAAGTACTGAAAATTTTAAATATACTTCATTTAGCTTATATTTCCTTATTTTCCTATCAACTTTATTGCCCAAAAGATTTTTATTCCACTTGATAGCATTTCCAAGTAAAAGATATTTTCACTACCAAAGTATGCGAAAAAGAAGTACAGTTATCTAAAATTTCAACTGTTTAAGAAAATAATTATGTGACAGATTGATCATGCATACCAAACAAGATTTTAAAAGTCCGTTATTATAATTCCACTTGCCTAAAATGATCTATTTTAGCGGAATAGATATTTTAAATAATTATTGTTATCAGACTAAACACTATCTATTGGCTTAAATTATTTCCCTTCCGCTCTCTCTTATATAGGATAGAAACTAAAGTAAAACAATTACATGATCATCTTTTTACTAAAAATGATATTACAGGTGTGTTTAATGTGATGATATCAATTGTGGTTTCACAGAAATTAAAAGTGTACATACATTTTATTTGTTTCAGAGTGGTGTGGATATGTTTTGTGTAAATCTAATCAATATCATAAGGCTGATAATAACAATAATAAATACGTAATGTGAGTATTTTTCCTTGGAAAAGTTGGAACTCTTAAGAATATTGAATGTGACATGAAAGATTCTTTTCTCGTTAAAGGAATAGCAGTTCAATGTTAACATTAGTGAAGACAATTCATATCAATCTACTTTTTTTAAAGTGAAAATTATCTTACCTAGAAAATTTACTTCCAATGACACAATGCCATGTTGGTTCATATTTACGATCAAATTCCTTTTTTAAAAACAATGCAATATCTTTGTCATCATGATACTTGTCGATAGCCATTGCAGCTGACTGTACAGCATCTTGTTGCATTTCTTTACTCATTTCCACATATTTAATCACAGCTTTCCTTTCACCAACTGGATGTAATGGTGCTCCATAGGATCTTTGTTCAATAGGCATATCTTCTGTTTTATCAAATTTAAGAGTTGATTACTCAGAAGAAAAGAAAACAAACAACAAACAACAGTTGTTTTAAACAAGTTAAAGTGTAAATAACTTTGACTCAGTCTTTTGTATTGGCTTTATGTGTAAAGTTTATTATATCATAGAAACAGTTTGTGTCCTTCTGTCACTCTATCATTCACTTGAACAGAATTTGATTTCTGTTGGTGCGTGCTGAATGAGTGTCAGTAGGTAGAAAAAAGTAATAAAAATGATCAGTTTCTATTGATTACTGAACTACTAGTAGTATCATTAGTAAAGACAGCAATTATACTTGTCACGACAGAAAATAATAGTAATAATGACAATAATAAAAGAAAACTCATACTAACAGAATTCCCTGTGTATCATTTATGCCTCCCGGTATAGATGTGTATTGACAAAACTGTCAAAATTGCTTAGGATAAACAGCATTTCATTGATCTATTATTTTAAGTGGGAACAGTAGGGGTCAGATAAGCAGAATACTAAAAGCCACATAAAAATGGCTTCCACAGCCTTATTGATAGCATTTTATACGAATGTATACAAGGTAATCAATAGGTTGTATTTGATTGTCTGCATTGCACAGTATCATTTATACATTTTTATGGTTCATCAGTTTCTTCTTGATAATCTTCTTATAAGCAAACAGTGTGACAATAAATTAATTAATAAAATTACACTACTCAGTGTTTGAATTGATTTCTACTAAAACTGTTATTCCACCACATAAAAATAATCTTTTCCTAATTCCATCATTAGCTAATGGGTTTATTAGAAGCGGGAGCAAACATTTAAAAAAATGGAGTATATATATTTATATGTGCATGTCACTTATAAATGAAGTTGTGAACAATATCAAAATGCAACATAACAGGAGTTAATCTCTATCGATGTACCACTTATTGGATTGTGAATCTTCAGCTGTGAAAATTCATCAAATATAACACAAAGATAAACGCAGTAAATATAAGTAAATGATTAGGCAATGTATTGCTTAATACACATATTTAAACGACAGCAAAAATATGGTTATAGAAGCTAGTGAAAATCAATTGTTCACGAAGTGTTGTTGATAACAATAGTGAATGGAAAATGATCGTAGTTCAAGGATTAATAAAGAGTCAAAAGGGAAAGCAGTGAGTAAATGTACATACGAAAACTACTAAGGTTCATTTCCTAGAGAGTTAATAACAACCGAAAGAACTACCCAAATTTAAAGAACACTGAAAACCTGTTTCGTCGTTATTTATGACTCTTCAGTAGGATACATCCCTAGCTAAGCAAGATAAGTAGTCTTGTTGTTGAGTTAAAATTGATTGGTGAATGATCGCTCGACTTCTGCTGACTAGTATTTATTATAAAAGTGAAAAGAACGTATAGTACTAGGAGGAAGTGCATCAGTTGAATATACAATAGAAATTATCATATTTAGTGACCAGTGAATCGCCATAAAGTACCCTCGAGTTTTATTCATGATGGTTTGCACTACTTACTAATCCATGTGCATAGGTGGGTACTGTTCAGATCAACTAAGGGTGCTTACCAGCCATATCAAAGTGATCCAAGGACTTGTTTGAAGCCAAGCTTATTAGCAGAGAGCCAAATCAGTTCAAAATGACAGAATTCTGGTTAGCTAACTGGGCACACCGGTATTATGTTGAATCGAATTCGTAATTTGCAAATTCGATTCACTACTTGCAGTTTACAAAGATCGAGGAGGAATTTCACCATAATGTCCTGTGAAAACCAAATTTATTTTAGACTGAAATATGTGGTCTGGTTGACAATACAAATGGTAATCAAGAAAGCGAAGTTTAGTGCATGACGGTATATACTACCAGTTGACTTACGTGAGTAGTTGGATATCACTCACGTCATCTTATGCATGACTGAGTTATTTACATAAATTCTACGTTTTATAGTTTTCAGTTTTCTTATGAATAAAATCAATATCTTATTAAGAAGATAAAAGACAAATTAAGAGAGGAAAATTTCTTCATCGACGAAATCATCTTCAGAGGCTGTACAGTCGTATTTACATTTACCAAAAATGTATATCAGTCTATTATTGAATGATAGGGGGTGACATAATTGGCATAATCCCTCACAAGTGGCTTTAGAAGTAAAAATAAAAGTTGTAAGTTACGCAGTACTCAACGGCACAAAGGAAGAAGTGGTTAGAAATTTGATAAGGTTAAAATTGCTATTGAGTGAGAATAAAGGTAGTTGAGTGTCAATTCGACAAGTGTGAAGACGGTGTGATAATGTACAAAAGGAACATATGAGAGTGATAATAGTGAAGTAAATATTTAAGTAAAAGTAAACTGAAAGTAAAGTTAGAAATTAAAAAATAAATTATTTGCAGGAAAGGACTAGTGAAGAGGTTAATACCATGATAGAATAAGAGACTGGACAAACGTTTTCTGTATAGAGAATTCGGGGTTGTATTGAATAATTGCCAGCGCCTCCGCCATACACAAATGGCGAAACCTGACGCCCTCTGTACCATTTGGCTTCACCTTGTAGATGATCTTGAAAGACGACTCTGGTGGAGCTACGTGGCTTGAGATCACCAAGTGCTCGAGAATTGAGCTAGTAATTGTCTTGCGTTATCCTTTCGCTAACCATGCCGGATAGTGTTCCGAGATGCGTTTGGAAGATGTGCGCTTTGTGTGGCCAGTAGAACTAGCTCCACACGAGCATGTGAATTTATAAAACACATGAGTGGCTCAAAGTGGAAGTTTATTCTTCACACATCCATTGATGATTTGTCACCTGTAGAAACTGATCTGTAGCTCAGGTGCAAAGAAGGCTTTCCCCAGTGATCTGCATAAGCGATACTTCGGGATCTCAGTTGCGGTACCCCCTTTAAATTCAGCGTTCATAAATATCAGTTTCTTCGGTACTGTCTGAGTTCTTTCGTGCTTTTGCTTTAACTTCATGTTTTTCTGGATAAATCTTGGAGGATATCCATTGTATATGAGGACTTGTCTGAGCCGCTGCAGTTCCCCGTCGATTGTAGCTTGATCACTGCTGCAAAAATATTGTAACCGAGAAAATTAATTTAATTTTCATGAGTACAGTTTTAGCCCCTCAGTTTTAAAACATTACTACTGTTACTAATACTAGTATTAATGCAAACTAATTCTCGAGCAATAATCACACTAGCTAATTAGCCATAAATGCGTTGAATTAAATTTGGGGATTAGGTGTAGATTGTTATTGCGTAGTAAAAAGTAGACATAACCGAGAATAGATAACCTTTGCGTGTTACACGGTTTAGTGGATTACGTTATATTCAGACAAAATGACTGAGAAACACAAAATTGAGATATTATTACTAAACTAGTATGGGATTTGGTCAGTCAAGTGCTTAGAATTTTTTTGAATAGATAAAGATGATGAATGTGTTTTGCTTCTGACTATCAGCGAACCTTAACGCGTTTGAATTTGATTTCCATTGTCCATTTCTACGTGCACTCACATTCACCTACTCTTATGCTGATGCGTCAGTAGTAGGATTTCAATTGGAAAAGGTATATCTTATCACAATTGATAACAGACATCCGTCTTGTTCGAGATAAAGGAACCTAAGGATAATGGATTCATCCATCTTGCATAAACACACAAAGCCTTTAACTCAGTTTACAAAAGCATTGCTCACGACATATCAAATCTGACAGAAGGCGTATGCTTATGTTTGTTTCATGTCTGTATATTCTCAATAACCCATAGTATAAACCCGGAAATTCACGATAAAAAAGAAACAATTTATTTTATTCTGTTAGTTACAGAGAAATCAATATTCAATACAGACATGGCTTGAAATACTCTATCCACTTATTTAATCTCATTTTCATTCTAAACGAAAATACTTCATTCCTCCTGTTCTGTCTGATAAATGTAAGCAAATTCAATTATAGACAGAACAGTCCCATATTCAGCTGTAAAAAGAAGACATAACATTGTGGAGAATTCTTATTTTAGACGAATCAATTTCAAAAGTTGTACACGTGAATTTACATCCAATCTGGGATTCGTAAAGTCACCAGTATGCGATTTTTTATGTTTTAGAAAATGTTCTATGTAATGTCAGGAATAATTTGGTGGGTAACAAGAAAGTGGAACTTCTGAAAAGAAAGTTAGTACTACGTAATAAATGTAAAAATGAATTTATCATCCTGAATACACAAAGCAGGCAAAAAGTGAAAGGCGTCAGTTTTTGAGTGAAATATGTTTTAGAAATACAGTGATAGTAATAAGCAATAATAATCATAATAAAATATTTACTTTCGTTCCTGTAATAAACTAAACATCAAACAACAAAAACTAAACAAATCATGACAAGAGTGTTACCTTGATCATGGTAAATTGAGTGATTGCATGTCTTACTTTTAAACACAGGTGAGGGTTATAGTCCCGAATAGGTAGTGATTCGAATGTGTGTTGCATATTCAAAGTGCCTTTGTGTTACACTGAGGGACTCTCCTACAGACTCAGTGTTGCGTAAAGCAGATATAATTTGCTTCACAGAATTAACTAAATTCATAAATACACATTGAGCTGACCAGAAGTGGCATCTTATCCTTAACTTATGACTGGATGAACTATCCACTGAAGAATGTAGTCTGAGAATAAGTGCGTGAAATTTCTTTTTCGGACACTTGAGAAGAAGATTTATAAGACCTTTGGCTTCACTATCACCCAGTAGCTTATAATCCATGAAGGGATTCGCCTTTCGTTTGTGTACCATCATGTGTACAGCAGGATTTATAATCCACTAGATAATGAGATGAAAGTCTAAACACAATCTGAAAAAAGTGCCCATCCAGAGGTGGGAATAAGAACAAACAGTTCAACAAAGAGTCTCTTCGGAGAATTCATTCACTTAGCCCTACCAGCGAAATTATATACAATTATTTTTATGTATGTGTGTATACATTAGGTTTGTTAAACGAGAATAAAAATCAGTTTGGATTACTGTGTAAGTCATCAAAATATTTAAAATTGTGATGAATAATCAAAATCGTAACTGGGATGTGTGTGTGAAGGTTAGTAAGTTTAAACTAGGGTTGTGTAATGTGAA